ATCGTCGGAGGCTCTGCCGTCTATTGAGGAATCCCTTGCATCATTGCGACAAACCAAAGAAAAAGCTTTGAAGGTATATCTCATTCCAATGTGCAATGTTTTCATCAGCTCTGATGGTATTAATTCAGTCTATCTATCAGACTACAGTGCTGCTTCGTGCAACCGTTTTCAGTGCTTTTTAATTCGAGGCATTCTGCTCATTCAATGTTTCTAATCAGTCAAATTATGAAAACCTCAGTGTGAATCCGAACAGATGCAAACTTCAGATCTAAGGAGAAATCTCATGAATTCATATTCGACTCAGTGTTGCTTTACTGCGTTCAGCGATTGTGATCGAGTGTTAATGTGTGAAGCGTTTGATGCTTTCTGAATACTTTGTTTTTGAAACACAAATTTCAGGAGTTATACAAGTCAGGTTTGGAAAGAAGTGAAAGGAAAGACGCACTTGGTGGGTCTGAAATGGAAGCGCCGATTAGGATCATTCAAAGCAAGTCGAAGACGGGCAACGTGAAGGTGATTTCCGACATTTTGATTTATCGCTTTTCAATGAACTCTAAAAACAAGCCATTTTGTTTGCTTACTAGAAAAATCAGGAATTCTATTTGAATGTTTACAGTCATGAAAAGTTGTGGTGTATCAACGAACTGAGTCTCGCAAAAATTTTTAGTCATTTTGTTTATTTCATTTGTATTCATTGAAATAATTAAAGGAATATGATTTGTTATCTTTGCTTTTTCTAGAAGAGTATTCAATCGTCATCTACTGTGACTCTACAGTCAAATATGGAAACGGCGTTTTCGATCGTCGATGAGAAGTTGAGATGGTATGCTGAGCGTTTGGCGAAGTCGGAAGATCTTAGTGAAATTGTGCAATTACAAGAGGCCATTTTTGGTGCTCTCAGAATCCTTAAACTGAAGCATTGAAAACGTTAAAGTGAATCGAATGACGACGCCTAGCTTGCTTCCCATTTGCTAGTTAGTACATGTATGGAGGATTTGAGTGAGATGCGTTGAGTTTGAACTCTTCTTGGTGTGAACCCACAAAACTGAAATTGGAATGGAGTAATTGAATATTTTAGAATGGACAAATAACGGAGACTGAATGTAATTGTGAGCTGAAAGTTAAGGACAGTTACAAATGTAACTGGATCAGAAAGTTTTGACCGAAGACTAGTCTCAGAGTTGAGTTTTCCTTAAGTTGATGAACGTTTAAGATTTTTCATTCGTAAATTGTATATGTCAAGTTTAAGATCGTGAACGATAATCTCGCGAGTGACTAGATTAATGACGTTTTGATTTGTTGAATCCAATTTGCTTTAACCACTTTTTGTTGTTAATTTTGGTTGATTATGTCCGAATTTTTTGGAATTTTTGAACTGTTTGTTGGTGTTTCTTGATTTTTTTTCAGTGAGAAATTTATTGTTTGCTATATAATTTGTCAGTTTTTGTAATTTGCTTTGTTTTCACTGTTAACACACACATTGGAGATGGAATAGCATTAATATGAAGTGATGATCCTCGTTTGTTATGTTGTTATTTCGGTGTCAAGAATTTGTTAATTGTTTGATTGTGCGGTACCAATAAACTCTCTAAGCTTAATTTCGCAGAGAGTTAATTCTTCAGCTGAAACGTAATTTCAACAATAATGTTGATGGTTTGTTGGAAAGCATTCCATATTTGCAATTTTTTGTCTTTTGCGATAAATGAAAATATCAGTTTCAAGCAAAAGAAGACTAAAGTGCATCACAATTGAATTCCTCGAAAATTCTGACAGTCAACGAATTTGTTCGCGATTGAACAACTTCAATGCGCTGGAGAACGTTGGTATTCGAAAAATTGCCTAAACTGCTACACAGAGCAATGTCGATGGGTTGGCAGTATTT